CTAGAGAAAGCCCAGGCACAGCAACGAAGACCCAACGCAACCAAAACTAAATAAATAGCAAATGTGAAAAAAATATTGAGCTTATGCATTTATGAGAGTTCTGACTCATAAGTTAGGGTTTCATTTTTTAAAATAAAAATTGTTATTTTGAGTTAGTTACAGAGTCTATGTCTCTTTCAGCTTAAGAAAACCCAGCAGATTCTGTCCCTTGTGCCCATCACCTAAGTTCTAAAAAGAGTTGCTGTTCAGTAACTGACATGAGAAGCTGACATGAGAAGTTACAATTTTCTTGGTTTTCTAAAAACAAAATGACAATTGACATTTTGCAACTTTTGAATGTGGGTGGGAGGATGACAAATAGCGGAACATGTATCATTAAGGCACTCTCAAGAAGGAGACTAAACTCTGGAATGCATGCTGGGGACAGAGGCAGGAAAGAGGAGAGAGGTTTCTCAGCAGAGCAACTGCTGGGCAGATAGGGTCCGTAGCTGACTGCCGCTGTGATTACCAAGTGCTTGGATTCTGCAGTGGCATCGAAGCAGTCTCTTGTTCAAAGTATTTTGTTTTTGTTTTTTTTTCTTAAAGATACCTAATTAGGATGAATAAAATAGTAGTCTCCTGTGTGAAAATCTTCACCATTGTGACTATTTATCCTAAAAAAGATTTTTAAGTGAATTTTGTTATGTTTCATGCCTTCCTCATTGATGCATTCTAGACTTTTCCTGTCATGGAACTTCTTGCTTTAATCCTGATGGGCACTTCAATGTAATGAGCGTACAATCTCTTTAGCTATAAACTAGAGGTATAGCTCTTCCCAGATTCAATTTCAGCGAGGTTCTCTTAACCTTTGTCAATTGCATGTTGGAAAGATTGCTTGTCTGTCTGCAGTGCTGAGATGTGTGTGGGTAGAAGTCAGATTCATAAAGAGGTAGACAGAGAGTTAGCCTCAGTTACTTTATTCTGACAAGCTTGATTTTGTGTGTGGGCCTTCTGGTGGTGGGACATTGTTCGTATAAAAAATCAGCCATGAGCTGAGCTACAGGCCCTTCATTCCAATGGTAAGTTTAGGAAATTGAGTTGGAGGTGGTATTGATTAGGTACAAAAGTGATGAATTATGGTCTGTCAGGAGCTCTTCATTAATTAGCCTAATTCCCATTGACGTTGATCTGGACTCCATAGGGGCGATTTAGGAGGCAGCTGTACCCATGCTGAAGCCCTGTGCTACAGTCCTTGTCAGCATCCTCCACAGAGTCTCAAGTCTCTGGGCCAGTAAAAAAGATCATTCCATCACATCGTGCAGCAAATCAGCCCCATTTTCAATTCACCACTTCCCCTTCTCAATATATACTGCCCTAAATATAAATTAGCATTGCCTTAAAATTTGGGGGTGGGTGGGAAGCAAATGGTAGTAATTTGAATGGTACATTAAACACCCTACAAAAGCTTTCTGGATCTCTATCAGGAGTCTGATAACATTAACATCATTAGAATTCAAATATTACTATAAATGTACATGCATATCCTTAGTCTATCATTTATTGCCTATTCTCGTATTAGATACACATCAAATGTCAAAAGACACAGTTCTTTTTTTTCTAATGATATAAAAAGCAACGTGAAAAGTATAAATTCTCATGACATGTGAGATTAAAAGCTTTGGCCAGGAAACTGTTTACTGTATTTTGTGGAAATAAGAATTAGTCAAAGTTGAATACTCTTCCCTTGAGTTTAACACAAAATCATGGCTCGAACACCATTTATCTGGCAAATGACCAGAATTCTCTGCTCAGCCCACCCTCCAACTCCTGAGAAGTTGGGAAGCCTAAGGGTTGGGAAGGCTTCCAAACCAAACATACCCTCCTAACCGAGCATATGATAAGGGAATGCAAGAGGGAACTACGGTCCCGCTGGGTTTTTCTCACAGTTGGGGTGTAGCGGAGGTGATCCAGCAGCTGTTGGGAACTAACACTGTTCTGGCTCTTTCTTGCCCCTTTAGAGGTAGGCCTACCTGAGTTTCTATCTTCTGAGAAACCCAAAACCTTGGTTTTCACTCAGCACCCAATATAGACAGTATATAGTTGGGAATTGCTGGCCACGAATGAGCTTGTAGGGATATACTGGGCGGGGGGGGGGGGGCAGTTAGTACAGAGTATGCTGAATGCCTATCAGAAATAGGGCCTCAGAAGTAAGTTTGACACTAGGGATGATAAAGAATTCAGCAACCCTCTTGATTAATGTAAACTCTATTGTGTTTTATGTATGGCAAGTTCTTTTTAGAAAATTCTTCTCTGAGGAGCTACTATGTCACAAGTGTTACGAAGAACTCATATACCAGAGTTCCCACTTCTTGAGAAAAAATCTGTCTTTTCCCCTAAAACTTTTTGGGGTATAATCAGAAACAGTGAACTAGATGTACACGAAAAGCATAGATGTCAACGACATGGTGTTGAATGAAAATGGTTAGTGAAAAAAAATGAAATGAGATTTGTAACAGAGTATCATTTATGTACATTAAAAACACAAACACAGGGCTTCCCTGGTGGCACAGTGGTTGAGAGTCCGCCTGCCGATGCAGGGGACACAGGTTTGTGTCCCGGTCCAGGAAGATTCCACATGCCGCGGAGCGGCTGGGCCCGTGAGCCATGGCCGCTGAGCCTGTGTGTCCGGAGCCTGCGCTCCACAAAGGGAGAGGCCACAACAGTGAGAGGCCCGCGTACTGCAAAAAAACAAAACAAAACAAAACAAAACAAAAAACCACACAAACACACAACCAACAACATTACACCTTTTATAAGGGTCCCTGCATATCAGACACTTCAGAGTGACATGCGTATGGGAAGGAAGAGTGAGGGGGGTTTGGCGGGGGGCTGGGGATGAAGGGGTTAAATGAAATAAAGTCAAATCAGCAAGCAAAGGCCTCATATGGACCCAGACTGCTGGGCTGTGGATTGAGGAGTGTAATTCACTCACCTCTGTGAACCCGAAGGTCAAGGATTCCTATGGTAAGAGTAAGGAGTGATAGAAGAAGTGGGGGGTCCATGGGCACAGGGAGGGGAAAAGGAACCTACTTAAGGCATGCTTCCTCCTCCATCCTGCCCTTTGCCAGGCGTTCCAGTGACGTCTGCAGAAGGAGCCATGCCACAGGGCAGGGGTCAGCAAACTTTTTCCGTAGAGGACCATCTAGAGAATATTGTAGACCATACAGGCCAGTCTTCCAACTACTCGACTTGGTTGCTGTAGCTTGAAAGCAGTCATAGACAATCCATCAGAAAATGCAGGGCTGTTTTCTAGTAAAACTTTATTTAAAAAACAAGAGGCAGGCTGCATGTGGCCCATGGGCTCTGGTTGGCTGACCCCTGGCATGGGAGCTGGGCCTCCTTAATTGGTGTGGCCCACCATCCCTTATGCATGGCCCAGAGCAGAGCCTCTAAGATGATTCTGTCATTCAAAAATATGACCTATGAAGACGGATGCAAAGGCACCAGCCTCATTTAAATTCAGAGAAAAAGAACCCGAGGTCTGCAGGGGCTTCCATGATAATAGAATCTGAGACACGCTGAGCATTTGCTGCTGGGATAAATAACCCAGGGGCAGGGTTCACATCACTTTTCATTTGATCAAGTCAAGAGCATGTTTCATAAGCAAATGCAAATGCTCAAGAGCTTTTTGGAGTTTGCAGCAAGTGGCAGGAATTTACATTCCGTGTCTCCCAGTGGAACAGTGTCAAGGGCTCCCTCTCCACATTTCTCAGACAACTTGGCTTAAGTCTTAGGGGCATTCCCTCCAGGGACCTCCACGCTAGATAGGAGGCTATCTGGGCAATAGCTAAACCCATGCCTGCGGCTCATATTAAGGGAACGTAAGACAAAAGCATAAAGTCTTCAAAATGGTCATTTCTACACGAATAGGCCAATCAAGCACTGTAGATTCAAGCACGATGGTCGTCAGTGTGATGCTTTTCAGATGTCAGCGGGAAAAGGTAAACAAAATCAAGTAGCTGGACTGCCTTTCACCTCCACCCTGGTCCCCTGGCTTCTAGTTGCTAATTATCATCTCTCAAGGCACCTGTCCCCCTCCCCCATCTTGTTTGTCTGGCAAGCATCTCAGCCTCTCTCTCATTACTGAGTCCCTGGCTGTTTCCCAGAAGAGGGAAGACTCCCTCTGGCACTGGAAGGACAGCCTGTACCCCCTGATGTGGCAGATCTTAATTCAGTCCTGTAACAGTATGTTTATCCACAATGATCCGTTTGTTCCAAATTAGATTTCGCCAGGCACCCCTTCCCTGCATTTGACTTGAGTCTATACTTTCTTGCTACAGCTCCAATGCTTTACTCTCCTGAGGAGAGGCTGTTAGGCAAAAAAGGACCCTTTTAAACCCTGTATAAATTAGTGTCAGTCATAAAATTCACCCACAGAATTTCTCAGGAATCTACAAGTCAAGAGAGGTGAGAAGAATCATTAGCTAAGTGTGCTCTTCTGATGGGGTCCATCAGGATTTCACTCCAGGGTCTGTACATCCTGACTATGACAGGGAAGGAGTTCTCCAAGCAGACCTAGGGGGAAAAATTAATAGTCAAAGACCCCATGGACCTGTTATTCCCATGTCTGGTTATAAATCCAGAATATTGAAATACTGAAACTTGTTCATAAAGGAAGTGCATTTTATTAATTTTGCTGAGAAGTTGCCCTCAGTATTGTTAACTGTACCTGATTTGAAATTTCACTTTTAGATGAGATTCAGAAATATGAATCCGACTTCACGCTCCTCTAAAAGTAAATGGCACCTCAATTCAAAACGATGCCAGAAATGTTCATCTTAGGTCACCCACAGGAAGCCTTGGGTGCTCAGTAACAATTACATTTACATTTTTGGTGTTGTGTTGGGATCAAGGGAAAGACTAAGTTATACCTGCTGAGTGTCCTCTGTCTTGCCCCACTCTCTGCCCAGATCAGACGCTCTTGTTTTCTCAGCTCTGCACCTCTGTCTTCTTTTTTGCAGTGCTTCTATAGCTGAACCCTCCAGGCCAACCACCTACATATCCTCTTCACCTTCACAAATCTGCATTTCTCTGGAGGAGGGAAAACAAGTGTGCCTTCTCCTTTCCAGGCATGAAGGTGACAGGGAACTCAAGAGAGACCAGAGACACAATATTCTTTCTACTTCTGGTGAGCATTCTGGGCATTTTGTTTAAAGGGTCAAGAGATTGACCTTTGACATAGAAAACAAACCTATGGTTACCAAAGGGGAAAGGGCGGGAGGAGGGATAAATTAGGAGTTTGGGATGAACATATACACACTACTATATATAAAATAGATAACCAACAAGGACCTACAGTAGAGCACAGGGAATTATACTCAATATCTTGTAATAACCTATAAAGGAAAAGAATCTGAAAAAGAATATATATATGTATGTGTGTGTGTAAAACTGAGTCACTTTGCTGTACACCTGAAACTAACACGACATTGTAAATCCAATATTCTTAAATTTTTTTAAAAAAGAGAGACTGACCTTTAATCAATAACAGTAATATAAATGCCTAATTTTATTGAGTGTTTACTGTATGTCAGACACTGTGCCAAGCACTTTCTGTGCATTTTATCCTCACAACAGCTCTGGGTAGGAGGCATTCATTGACTACCTCTTTCACGTGGGGAAACTGAGGTTGGACACACTGTAACTTGCTCAGGCATGGAATTTGAAACCGGGGAGTCTGGCCCCTGTTTCCAGCCTCTATGCTATAGCAGGGAAAGGAATAGAAGAGGTACCGTCCCTGAGTTTTGCCACTTTGCGGTTGTGCAGTTTCTCAAGGGAGACGAGCCTCCATCATCCTGTGTAGGATTTACTCAGTACAAACTAAAAATGCCTCCTGGATTAATCCGGCAGCCCGCACCTTACCATACGCCTCCTCTTCTGCAATCAGTCCCTGTCTGTTCAGGGAATGTTAACTCAGGTTATTATTAGCTGAGGAATAATTATGAATATGTATATAATTCATGTATGTAAATGTATTAATACCCTTTTCCTACCCTTAATCTTGTCTAAAGTGTTACCATGAAGGGACATTTTTATTTCTACAACCTAAACTCTTAAGACAGAATAGAGTTTTGTTTGTTTGGATTTAGCATAAATCCTTAGTACAATCGAGATTGGAGGTGGGTTTTTTTTTTTTGTTGTTGTTAAGAGAAGTGTTTGTACCTCATCTACAAAAGAGATGCCACCAACCCCTTTGTCAGTGGAGTGCTTTTCTAGACTATCTTCCTGGTGCCTTTTTGGATCAATGACATGCGTGTAAGATGGCCAGGCTGAGCCGGGGTTGCAGAAATGCTTTTGGAATAATGCAAAACTAACTGCCCTCCGTATGGCCCAAATGGAAGACCTTGGCTGCATTGGCATTTTTCTCTAAGGGAGGTAATTGTCCAAAGACAAATGCCCACACTGACAAAACCCTAGAACAACAGTAACAAATAAGAGCTGACCTCTATTTGAAGCTTTCTATGGGTCAGATGCTATGCTAAGCAAATTTCACACATTAAGTGGTTGCTATAGATTTGAGTACACTATTATGCCCACTTAACAGATGAGGAAACTGAGGTAACAGGTAGTAAAATAGTAGAGACAAGATTAAAGCCCAGAGTTTTTCAGTCCTCTGACTCACTATGAGACTCAGCCAAGTGACAACATCCCAGGTGCTCCAGGGTCCTGGCAGGCAACTAACTTAAAGAAGTGAGGTCAGCCGCTGCAAAACAACAGGGAGCGAAGGGGCTCGAACAAATGGAGAGAGCATCGTCTAGCCAAGGAGGAGCTTCCACTCACCTCAGGCAGGCGTGTGGGCCAGGGTGCCAGGTCTTTTGATTTGTCCAGAGCGGCCAAGAAAGCTGGAGTTCAGTAAGAAATCTCCCAGTTTTTGAATGCCGGCACCTAATTTTATAAAGGCACTCTCCATGCCAACAGCCTACACCCGCAGCTCGTGCGGAGCCCACACGTGGCCATCTCCTTCCTCCACTGCACTGACTCCGCGCACAGTGTCCCCGTTGCAAAGGATTTGCTCTCAGATATTGACCTTCTGTATGGAAGTGCTCCTGGCTGCTGGGCTCGAATTCTCTGCTCAACTTTATGAGTGCATGCTGTTGAAGAACGGAGAAAGATGAGGTGAACATGCCTACTTCCGTGTCCCATACTGCAGTTTATTCAGCTTGAGTGCCAACTGCACCTTCGAGCTCTCCTGCATCCTCTCTGCTGGGATCAGTGTCTTCTTGGCCTGAGTTCTCGTGAGGCTTTGTACTGCACTCGGTTGCGTTCTATCTCCCTTTTACCTGGTACATTTCTCCTTTCTCCCAATTACATAGTCAGCCTCTTGGGACAAGTCCAAAGTCTTACTAATTACCCTACTCTTCCCATCTTCGCCCAAGCCCAATCTCAGTGTTTAATAGGTTTACCTTTCAAATATTTACTACATTCGCTCTAAAAATTGCAGTACAGGGAGGCTTGTCTTTGTATTCTTATTAATTAAGAGACAGGTTCAGTTGCTTTAATAAAGAACTAAAAATAGTTAATTTGCCTCTTTAAACCTGTTTTCTCCTCTGTTAAATGTGAATAATTACCAGACCTACAAGAATCACTTAATAGCTATAGATAGCTTAGCACAGCGCCTGATGCACAGACGGCACTCAGGAGAGGTCAGTTCTTGTCACAGCTTTCACAGACTGCACTCAGGATTTAATACAGTGGAGCTATGACTTACTAAACAGCATATGGGGCCTCACTGCAGGGGGTCCTCACATCATGGACTGAGATCCTGAGGAACTCATGGAAGGTCTCTTCCAAATTAAGACAAGTTAGGGTTCCACATACTCGTTCCTTGTCAACTGTAATTGTTTGCTTGAACCTGGTAACTACTACTTTCCTTCTTCACAGAAATTTTACAAATCTAAATGATGAATGTGCTAATTACTGTCTGTCATGGGCTGAATTTCCATCCCCCTCCTCAAAATTCACGTGTTGAGGCCCTAACCTCCAGTACTTCAGAGTGGGATTGTGTTTAAAGATAGGGCCTTTAAAATGGTAATTAAGGTTAAACAAGGTCATATGGGCGGGTCCTAATTCATTCTGACTGTTCTTATAAGCACAGGGAGTTTGGAGACGCAAAGAGGCACCAGGGATGGGCATGAAGAGAGAAAGGGCCATCTGAAGACACAGGAAGGAGATGGCCATCTACGAGCCAAGGAGAGAGGCCTCAGGAGTAACCTAACTTGCTGACACCTTGATCTTGGACTTCCAGCCTCCAGAACTGTGAGAAAATGAATTTCTGTTGTGCGGTGGTCCCCAGCCTTTTTGGCACCAGGGACGGGTTTCGTGGAAGACACTTTTTCCACGGAGGTGGGGCGGGAGGGTTCAGGCGTGATGCGAGTGGTGGGGAGAGGCAGATGAAGCTCCACCGCTCACCTCCTGCCGTGCGGCCCAGTTCCTAACAGGCCGTGCACTGGTAGTGGCCCGGCGGTTGGGGACCCCTGCTGTTGTGCACACTACCCAGTCTGTGATACTTTGTTATGGCAGCCCTGGCAAACTAATACATGCTTCTTCCCTTGGACCTTTGCCTCTTTTCAGTCATGTAACTCCAGAAAATAGGAAATGGGCATCTGCTTAAAGTAAGTGGGAGAAAAATGCACTTTGGGAGAAAGAGCATGTTTGCCTAAAAACTCTCTCTCCTGGCCTAGTGTTTGGGGGATTTTCTGATGAAGGTGTGTATGGCAGATCTTGTCCATGTCCTGCCCATGTCCCCTTGGGTCTCATCGCTGTAGCACACGCCAGCCAGACGTTAAACGGCCAGCATCACATCTGTGTGTGTGGAGGTTTTTTCCTGATTCCTGAAACCTACCCTGTCAGTGCTCAGTGTAGAATGGAAGTCCTGGAGAACTGATGCCCAATGACCCATGGTAACTGGAGTATAACTACCCCAACTCCCTCACACTCAAACAGGGTAACTCTTATAACTCTACATTGGCTTCCAGAGTTCTGCAGCAGTATTAAGCTCCAGATTAAAATATCAAGTATTAATCTTTCTCGATAATGCACCTTTTCTTGGCTTCCTTCCTATCCCTGTTGAAGTTCTCCATCCTTCCATTGCTGTTCCTGGGAGCATCTCCCAAGCAAACTACTTGCTCTAGAACTCTTATTTCAGGGTGTGATTCTGGGGGGACCAGAACTAGGGCAACCTGCTTTCTGGCTACCTGTGTGTGCATATGAAACGTCCATATTTAAAGATGCTGCTACGGTTTCTAATTTAACAGTATGACACACTGCATTGCATTCTTTCCGTGGCAAGATGGTAAGTGGTCCATCAGCTGGTGAACCCTGGAGCCTCTCTTTGCAGGGAGGGGTGCTCTACAGTCCTGCCTGTGGAAAAGGTTTTGCTTCAAATTCACCACTCTGCATTTTTTTTTTTTTTCATAAGCACAAAAGCCCAGTCCTTTCAGTGCTTATTGCATTGGATTAGCCTGTGCTCTTGCATCACATCTCCATGTTGGGTAGGTGTGTTTGCATCAGTGTAGAATGATTTTAATAACTTGTCTTGTGCCTGAGCCACATATTTCCTTATGGGGCTGCTGTAACAACTGCTGTGAAGTTTTCTTTGTCCATGGGGGTGTGGCAGGGGGGTTTGCTTCTGAATAGGAGTCCAAGAGACTGTGAGAGAAACAGACTTCTTAGGAACAATGCAAGCTGCCCTGTGTGTGCAGTAAAGCTTCTGCTAAGGACCACTGACCCTAAGCCTGCGTTACTCTCAGGCTGATGGAGTGCAGTCAGAGGTTGAGGTCTTCTCAGTGCTTACTCAGAACAATGCTAAGGACACTCCACACTAAGTAACTTTCAGCCTTCCAGGCTCCCTTAACCATCTGAAAACTATTTACAGCAAGACCTGCAGTTCTGGAATGAGGATGGCTCTGGGACAAGGCTCTAGATGAGCTCGTTAACAAGGCCTCACCTGACCATGTGTGTAAGCTCTGCAGCTGTTTTGCCAGCAGGATCACTTATCTTTGCCGCAATAGGAAAGGTTCTGTCACAGAAGCTATTTCTCTGTTGCATCTTTTGTGAATCTTTTTCTACTAGTGCGTTAATCCTAAGAAGTATTGCTGGCTTAAAGGATTTATATGAAACGTTCAGGGGTCCACCACTGTAGCGTTTAATCACCTTCATTGCCACATGGTCTTCAGCTCAGGGCTAAAGGCCAGAACCACAGTTTTAAAGAGCTGTGGCTGACTCACTCCTCGCATCTCAGCCAAATTATTTACCTTCTGCTCATTTACTGGTAAAAAGGAAAGAATAAGAGTGTGTGGTACTCTATTATTTTCCATCTAATTATTTAGAAAAGCCTCCCCTGTGAATTGATTAAAGTATTATATGGAGGGAAGTTTTCAAATAGGCTCTGGGTAAATCTACAAACTCCTATAAATCCACCCATTACCTCTAAATGGACTTCCTTTGAAGTAGGTCATTCTGTAAATTATGAGGACCTTAATCCTGTCTTTAGTTTAAACATGTTTTGCAGGAAAATTTCTCCTAGCAACGTGTTGGGGTATTAGTTTGGCCCTGGTGCAAACGGAGTTAGCATTGAACTGGGAAGCACAAAATCCCTTGTTTGGTTTCCCAGAATTTTTCCTAAAATTTAAAAATATTTTCTGTGTTTCTTTTGTTTTAGTAACGGCAAGTGAGTTTATTGGACTGAAGATTCCACATTGTTTTATTATCGTAGACAAAGGCATTGAGCACCCAAACTGTTTGGGGCAGGTCATCAAAAGCAGCTCTCACCCCTGCCTGAATCCCCTTTCACCTTCCATTCCCCACATCATCATCTTGTTGGGTTTTGCTTCAATATGTTCAACTCTTCCTTTCCTCTCCACTCTGCTTAGACTTCTTCAGCCTCAGCTGTCATCACCTCAACTGGGTGTCCCTGTGATACCTCCAAGTCTGCCTCCTTGATCTTAATTCCAGATATTCTAGGCAACTCTGCCTCCTGTATCTTGGCTAATTATCCCCAAGCATGCTTCCACCATGTCCGTCCCCAGCTAAGAAACATACTGTGCTCCCTGTGGATTACCACACACCTTCCAATGTACTCCGCCTGACTTTCGAGGCCCTCCACATTCTAGCCTGTCCCTAACAGCCCAGCGTGCTCTCATTTTCCATTACTCAAGACGTTTTGCTTTTTCCTGTCACCGGGAACAAGCCATGATCATTTCCAGGGCCAGTGCGTATGGGTGTGCAGCTTGTGTATAGCCCCTTGGCATTGGGCATCATGCAGAGCTGGTCATTTCAACTTCCATGATTTTCTTTCTTCCCGCTGCTTGGCTGTCTAAATCCTTCTCATCCTTCAACGTGTCCCTGAGCCATGATGTCTTCCTTAACTCTGCCAGTTCTCACTGATCTCCTCTTCCTTTGAAGTTCTGCAAGTCTTATAAGCTCTTCCCCCCAAAAAAGTTCTTAATAAGAGCTCCCCTACCACAGAGGGCAAGAACCCCCAATTATTCATCTTTCCATCTGAGAACACAGTAGGGCTTAGTGACTATTGAATAGTTTTCTCTTTTTTCAAATGTGATTGTTTTAACTCTCCCAGCTATTCTCTGAGCTCCTTGAGGGAATGAAGGCTGTCATCCACATCTGTAGCGCACACGGTGCTGAGCGCAGGATTGATGTTCTATAAATATTGGTTGTCTGATTCCTGGGCATGATCTATAATTAAGCCAGAAAGAGAAAAGAACATCAAATGTTGATATGCTTCTTAGAGCAAAATCAGCATCACCTCTAGTTGGAGTCCAGAGATATGTGATGTGAACCAAAAGTGTGTGATCTTCAAGCAGTAGGCCCATTTCAGGAAGTTGTCCAAATTGTCCAGAGAGAAGAAATGAATTAATCATTTTTGTCACCAACAACAATAAAGTAGATTTCAAGCAAGGCAGCTTCAATTATTTCAAATACTGAGTAGCTATTCAAGGTTATTAATATTGCAAACTGAAAGGCAGAAACACTAGAAAGGCAACATTTCTGCCCTATTGTTAGAGGCTGAAATTTTATGAGGATTACCTGTTGTCATGGCAGAAAATTATTCTAAATACATATCCAACAGTAACTCTGAAGAGTCTTAAATTCTCTAGTAAATGCTCCAGAAAACAGCCACAAAATTCTGTCATCCCATCTGTCTTTTTCTTCTTATGGAGGATTTGTGCTGCCTTAGAAAGACAAATGCAAAATTGAAACAGAAAGCAAAGTAGCCTCCTGTAAATAAATGCCTTCTTTACTATCTTCTCCTCTAGCATTTTCCCTGTCATATCTGATCTTGTGATGATTGGCACTTCTTCTTTGGGGGTATCTGTAGGATTTGAGCATCAACAGGATTGTCAGATTTCCACTTGTTTTGCCCTTTCCCAGACTGCCCTCAATCCCTCCAAAAACTTCTTTGCCAGCAGATACTGGTCTACCTGACAAACACCAGCGTGGAGTGTTAACTTATGTTCATTTTCAGGCTTATATCTTGTAGTGGTGGTGGTAGGGTGCTGGAGGGTGATCCACTTGCACTAGATAGGGGCCCACGGAAGAAGGAGCAACCCTTTAAATCGTAGTGGAATTCATAATTAATGCTGCAAATGTAAATGGGGCAGCTTATATCTGTCTTCATTTCTGGTCTATACACGCTCACATTTAGGGAGTTAGGCTCAGCCCAAGCGTCATGGGTCTTAGGAGTTTTTGTTATTAGATTACCTACTTGGAAAATATGATGAAGCCTATGTCTCTTTCATCAGAGAAGTACACAGGCATTCTTCATATGATTTCAGGAAGTTCCCAGACCTTCTAAAATCTATGTAGCCCAGATTGAAGAGAGTAATAAAGATACTTTCTAACACACCTGTACTCCTGACTGTGCCTGCATTGTTCTAGGTACTTTACACTTAATATCTCATGTATTCCCCACAATAATCTAACGAGGCAGGTCCTATGATTTTCCTCATTTTGCAAATGATGGAACTGAGGCCAAAGACATAGCCCATTCACCTTTCCACAATGCTTCCAAGTCTTCCCTATGATTTCATGGACTCTTGACTACATTTCTTCTTCTCTTCTAATGTCTGCGCCCTAAATAGAGATCTAAAAAGAATCTTGTCCGTACAACTTGAGAAAAACTATTAAGACTTTACAAATATTAACGCCTGTTGATCCTCTGAGTCTCCCTTGTAAATAAATATGAAATTCTGTTGTTACTATTGTGAATGGTATA